AAACCCCTAGGGCCCATACTTCAGAAAAAACCTTTGAGGGAAGCAAGGGACCATGTAGCTTACCTTGGGTTCCCAGGTGTGGGCCCTTCATTTGGGCCCCTTGTTATGCAACCCTGTACTTAGATTGCTAAACAGAAACTGACACTATGCTCTACTTCGGAGCTGCTGGTTCAGGATCTGCTTGTTTGCAAGCCTCGTCAATAGCTCTATGGTTTCTTAGCATGGGCCCGTGAAACGGGGCCCCGTTTTCACCCCCTTTAAAACCACATACAACCCAAGGGCCTTTGAAGGTAAGGGACGATACTGAGGGACCATGTACTACCCGTAGATAAGCCTAAACCCTAAACCCTAAACCCTAAAACCTACACCCTACACCCTAAACCCTAAAGATAAGCCTCACCCAAACGTTGCGGTTAGGAAGCTTGGGTTCTTCATAGGGCATTTGGGAATTTGGCAACTTCATGCAGAAATGCACACGTCCTTCAGCGAATTTGGGGGCCGAAGATCTCTCAACCTTGCAAAGGACCCGACATTTGGTAACTTCTGTCCCCGTAGATAATCCTTGAAGGGATGCTATGGGTACCTGATACCCAAACAGTTAGTAAAGTTAGGGTATGAAGTTTCTCCTGACTCAAACCCCGAAGCAAATCTTAAGTCACAGCTCCATCTGGTCCAAAGTTTATGGGCTTGATTACTTTTCGGGTTGACAAGGGGCTTTAGGGCTTGGGCTCTTCTTTGGGATGTTCCCCTTATACTAGCAGCCTTCATAGCGATGATAGTACCCCCCCCCCCCCCCATGATCCTCCCTATCATAAGAAGGGAGAACATCCCAAGTTCTGGTTGCAAGTTCACTAGACCCGGGAGTAACCTAGGACTAAAAAGGGTGCCCTTTTTGGTTTAAGGGGATGATAAGGGAACCCCCAACCCTTAAAACAAAAAACGAAAAAAAGGCCTACTCCCGTCCCTAAACCCTATAACCCTATAACCCTATAACCCTAAACCCTAAACCCTAAACCCTAAACCCTAAACCCTAAACCCTAAACCCTAAACCCTAAACCGTGGCAGGCTCATGGATTTAGGCTTCGCGGGCTGCTGCCTGTCTCGCGAGAACCATCATCGTGCAGGGGTCGCCCAGGCGGCACATGTTCACGATGTGCTGGTAGAGCTCCTGGCAGCTCACGTTCCCGTAGCCCCTAAACCCTAAACCCTAAACCCTAAACCCTAAACCCTAAACCCTAAACCACAAACCCTAAACCCTAAACCACAAACCCTAAACCACACACCCCAAACCCTAAAACCTAGAACCTAAACCCTAAACCCTCAACCCTATGCTAAAATTAGCAGAATGCTCTTCCACCTTCTCCAAAGGTCTGTAAGAACAGGGGATGAAAGGGGCGAATGCCCTGCAATCACAAGTGAGTTCTTCGGGCTTGAAGAATTTCGAGGTGTAGGGTTTACGGCCCCTAAGCCCGAAACGAAGCACTGCACGCTAAACCCTGAACCCCGACCCTTTCTTCGGGCTTTCAGAATCTAGGGGTGTAGGTTTAAGGTCCTTAAGCCCGAATCGAAGCTGCCGAGACAACCCCCCCCCCCCCATTTTATACTTCCTAAGGATCAGATAAGCCATCCAATGCTCATGAAATCAAACCGGCCCTGTTGCATGCCCTTGAACTCTAATTCCTAAACCCTAAACCCTAAACCCCCCAAAGAAAACCCAAAACCCTTGAACTCCTATGGCCTGTCTCCGGGCGGGGCTCCCAGCTCGGAAGGCGCCAGTGCAGTTCTCCGGCACGTACCAGACTGTTTGGCGGATGCGCTCAGGGGGGGGTTTAGGGTTTAGGGTTTAGGGTTTAGGGTTTAGGGTTTAGGGTTTAGGGTTTAGGGTTTAGGGTCTACAGAGGGTAATTAGGCTTTCGGGTATCGTGAAGAGTGCTTCGGCAAGTCGAGACTCATACTAAAACCCTACTTTTGAGTAGACCCTGGATAAACAGTATGCTCGTTTTGGGCATAAGTAGCGACAACGAGGAACCCAAGAACCAAAAAAGTGTTCAAGCACATAGGTTTTAGGATGTTTTAGGCATAAGTCGCTATACTAGGAACCCAGAAGCCAAGTACCTAAACCCTAAACCCTACACCCTAAACCCTAAACCCTAAACCCTAAACCCTAAACCCTAAACCCTAAACCCCACTCCAAGGCCCAATCAAATCGCAACCGAGTCGCGCGGCCAGTGGCCGGTGGAATATTCCGCATCGTCCTCCTCGCCTCCCCGAACACTGGGGACCCCTTTTTTCAGGGTTTCCCCACCGAATCCCTTAAAGGGTACAGAGAATGATCGTAGTTCAGGGGTTTCCCTACATGATCCCTTATATCGAAGTCCGAAACTTAAACCCTAAACCCTAAACCCTAAACCCCAAGTTCCCCTCAACCATGCAAACCTCAGCCAGGGCCGCCTGGGCCCGCGACTTGCTCGGCGAACCATCGTACCACGTCCTCATCCATGGTGTCACCCGTCGTGGATCTCCTCAGGGCTTAGGGTTTAGGGTTTAATTAGGCTTATCATTATAGGGTTCTTAAGGGAGGGCGGGTTCAAGGGGGAGGGATTTATGCAACGCAAGGTTCCCTAATACACCCCACCACTCCCTAAGGTTCCCCTAGGTACCCCCCAGAAATCCCCGTCCCTGAAGAACCTAATCTCAGGGTGGTTCGAGGTGCTCAGAGCATATAAGCCCGACAACCCCAGAAACCGCGTAAACCCTGAAAGCCTAGAAAACCCATAAACCCTACAAACCCTGCAAACCCTACAAACCCTGACCCTATAACTCGCCATGAACCCTACAAACCCCGTGATAGAGGCATAATATACCTAACTGAATGCGGGGAGGTTGGGGGGGAGGCATGAAGGGGGCCTGATTCGGGCCCAAGCCCAAAGCCCGAAATCCTACATCCAAAACAACCCCAAACGCCAACTGAACCCTAAACCCTAAACCCTAAACCCTAAAACCCTGAACCCCCCACCCTGGCAACGGCGGCCCTGGGGGACGGTGGCAGAAAGAGGCAGCGCTGCCACGAAAGGCGCGCGCCTTTCTGCCATCCGGTGGGCCCCGCGGCCAGAAATTCGGGAAAGCTTGGGTTTAGGGTTTAGGGTTTAGGGTTCAGGGTTCAGGGTTCAGGGTTTAGGGTTTAGGGTTTAGGGTTTAGGGTTTAGGGTTTAGGGTTTAGGGTTTAGGGTTTAGGGCATGGGGCTTATAGGGTTGTAGGGTTTGCAGGTTTTAAGGGTTCTTGCGGTTCGGGGTTGTAGGGTGGTGAGTGGACGGTTTCAGGGCGTGCCAGTAGCCGAACCCTAACGCATCGAGCCCTTCCTGCGCAGAGCGCGCTGGAGCCAGAAGCCGTGAGAGGAACCCTAAACCCTAAACCCTAACCCTAAACCCTAAGCCCTAAACCCTAAACCCTAAACCCTAAACACCCTAAACCCCCAGAACTTGCAACTTGGCTGGAACACCTTTTTCTGTGGGACATGGCCAAGAAGTTCTCTTAAAGACCACTTAAATTAAAGGGCTTTAAAAGCTTGTGTAGGGTTAAGGGTTTAGGGTTTAGGGGTTGTTTACACCACTTAAAGGGGAAAAAACTCTTGTAGGGTTCAGGGGTTTAGGGGGTTGATTCGGGACTTTTGGACTTAAGCCTTCCAGCAGGGGACTCGGATTTTGGTGGTTCGGGTTAGGCACCCCAAATCCTCGAGTTTCTCCCCGGAAGGAATCAAAAACAGAAAGGGCCCCAGAAGTATTGCACAAGATTTTTGGGTTTAGGGTCAGGGTTTGCCCGGCGTAGGCCCAGCCAATGCGACCCCACCCTAAATCCTAAACTCATGCCCTGAACCCTCCGAACCCCTCGCCCTGAGTCCCCAGGACCCTATCCCTAAACTCCTTGAATTTCCGCCCGCTCACCCTACAAATCCTTTTGGATGCCCCCCCCCCCCCCCCCCCAACCCCTACAAAACGTTGAACGTAAACTCCCTAAACTCCCGAAAGTCCCTACACTCCTAGACCCAACCAAGAGTAACCTATAAATAAAAAGGGTGCTCTTCTTGGTTTGGGAGCCCCAACCACAAAAAACGGGAACAGGGCCAACCCAAACCCTAAACCTAAACCCTAACCCTAAACCCTAAACCCTAAACCCCAAACTCCTAAACCCTTAGAGCGCCCACACTCCCAGAACTCCAGCTCGCGCCCTCAACCCTCAACCCTGCGGGTGTAGGTTTAGGGTTTAGGGTTTAGGGTTTATAGGGTTTAGGGTTTAGGGTTTAGGGTTTAGGGTTTAGGGTTTAGGGTTTAGGGTTTGCGGTTTGGGGTTTGGGGTTTAGGGTTTAGGCTTTAGGGTTTAGGGTTTAGGGTTTAGGGTTTAGGGTTTAGGGTTTAGGGCTTAGGGTTTAGGGTTTAGGGTTTAGGGTTTGGGGTTTGGGGTTTAGGGTTTAGGGTGACACCCTAAACCCTAAACCCTAAACCCTAAACCCTAAACCCTAAACCCTAAACCCCTCTGAAACCGACAAACTTCCTCGGGATCCGGCCGCGAGCTGCAGAACCAGGCCCCGGTTCCTTCCCAGCACGACGACCCCCCCTTGAGGGGTTTAGGGTTCCCCTACTGCTTAGGGTTTAGGGTTTAGGGTTTAGGGTTTAGGGTTTAGGGTTTAGGGTTTAGGGTTTAGGGTTTAGGGTTTAGGGTTTAGGGTTTAGGGTTTAGGGTTTAGGGTTTAGGGTTTTTAGTTTTAGGGTTTCGGGGCTTTGACGAAACGCCGGTGGAACAGTCGCATGTACTGCTGCAGCGTGGCTCGGAGAAGGTCATCGTACTTCTCGCGGTTTTTGAGAAAGGCCCTCTCTCTCTGCGCAGGCGTACGGAGTTAAGCTTCAGTAGGGTTTAGTTTTTTTTTTTTTTTTTTTGGGGGGGGGGGGGGGGGGGGGGGCCTCTTACCTTAAACCCGTAAACCCAATGGCATTTGGGACTTCCCAGGTGTTGCTCTCGGCTTGGGGGCTTTTAGCGTTTCGGGTTTAGGGTTTAAGTCTTCTTGGGGCCTCCTGGGCCTTTTAGGCTCCTTAAGTTTAGGGTTTAGGGTTTAGGGTTTAGGGTTTAGGGTGTAGGGTTAGGGTTTAGGGTTTAGGGTTTAGGGTTTAGGGTTTAGGGTTTAGGGTTTAGGGTTTAGGGTTTAGGGTTAGGTTTAGGGTTTAGGGTTTAGGGTTTAGGGTTTAGGGTTTAGGGTTTAGGGTTTAGGGTTTAGGGTTTAGGGTTTAGGGTTTAGGGTTTAGGGTTTAAATCCTTTGGGGGGCCCCTGAGCCCCTTTAAGCCTCCTACAGGGGCGGAACCCCGCATTAACAACAGGCCCGCATTGCCATCCTGCGCTCGAAACCCGAAACCCGAAACCCTAAACCCTAAACCCTGAACCCTAAACCCTAAACCCCTAAACCCTTGCATTCCGAGGATCTCCCAGCAACTGAGGAGGCCATTTCGGGTGGCCTCCAGGAGACTCGGAGTAAGCAGATGCAGGGCTTTCCGAAAAAAAGATGGTGTCTTGGGGTTTGGAGGTTTAGAGGTTTAGGGGTGTAGGGTTGAGAGGTTTAGAGGTTTTGGGGGTTTAGGGGTTGAGAGGTTTAGGGGTTGGGCTTAGGGTTGAGGGTTTAGGGGGTTAGGAGGTTGATGGGTTGAGAGGTTTAGGGGGCTAGGGGTTGAGAGGTTTAGAGGTTTTGGGGGTTTAGGGGTTTAGAGGTGTAGGGTTGTAGAGGTTTAGGGGTTTAGAGGTTTAGGGTTTGGGGCTTTAGAAAACCCTAAACCCTAAGCCTCTCTTTCATATATAATTTAAGTGTTAATGGAGTTACTGCGCAAGGTCATATTTTAAATGGGCAAGGTCATTTTTTTCCTGGGCAGGGTCATTTTTTACTGGGCAAGGTCGTTCGGTTCAAAAAACGACCTTGCGCAGTAACAAATGACCTTGCCCAGCAAAAAAAAATGACCTTGCCAAGTAAAAAAAAACCTTGCCCAGTAACTCGTTTACTGGGCAAGGTGATTTTATTTACTGGGCAAGGCAATTTTATTTACTGGGCAAGGTCATTTTTTGTACTGGGCAAGGTCATTTTATTTACTGGGCAAGGTCATTTTTTATACTGGGCAAGGTCATTTGTTACTGGGCAAGGTCATTGTTTTACTGGGCTAGGTCGTTCTACAAGTGAAATATTCTCTTAATGTTATGGGATTCTTTGGGCGGGTGGGAATTTTTCTGGAATAAATGCTTGACTAGTGAATGCTTGGACTTGAGATGCTGAACCCTAAACCCTAAACCCTAGTCCCTCAACCCTAAACCTTAACCCCTAAACTGGTTTATAGTTGGGATAGTATTAAAAATTCAAAATTTTATTCTTATTGAGTTTAAGTACCCTTAAAAATGTAAAATGTTATCCCACTATGACAAAGGAAACCCTAAATCCCAGGGTAGTTCTTTAGAGCTTTTAAAGTTCAGGGCCACTCTGTCGGGCCTTGGGGCTTCTTCCGTGCTTCTTGAGGTGAGCCGGTGCTTGGCTAGGGTTTAGAGTTTAGGGTTTAGGGCTTAGGGCTTAGGGCTTAGGGCTTAGGGCTTAGGGCTTAGGGCTTAGGGCTTAGGGCTTAGGGCTTAGGGCTTACGGTTTAGGGCGTAGGGCTTAGGGCTGAGGGAAATAGATTTGGGTCAAAAGGGCTTACAAACACCAGACTCTGAACCCTCCCGTCAAGCCCTGTGATAAAGTCTGAGCTTTTTAAACCCAAAGGCTTTAGGGCTTGGGGCTCAGGGTTGCGGCTTGCGTTTGTGCTGCAAAAACATGCTTCGTCGATAGCCGGTGCGTGTGGGAACTACACCGCCACTCTGCAGATAGGCTGTTGTGGTCTTCTCCCCAAGACACCTCGATGTCAGAAGGAATAAGGGGCACCAAGACCCGGGAGTCCATGTCAGCTTGTCCATGCTTCAATACTACGCGAGGGGGCGGGATCAATCAAGAAAAGGGTGCACCCTTCAGCCCCCGCATAGGCCCTGCTTTGCGACTTTATGGAAACTTAGGGGTTTGGGGCTAAACCCTAAACCCGAAACCCTAAACCCTAAACCCTAAACCCTAAGCCCGAAACCCCAAACCCAAAGTGTTCAAGAGTGCAGGACGCCCACGGTGCCTCGGCCCCGCCTCTCTTCTGAACTTGGAAACCTAGCTAAAGTTAACCCTAAACCCTAAACCCTAAACCCTAAACCCTAAACCCTAAACCCTACAGCCTAAACCCTAAACCCTAAACCCTAAACCCTAAACCCTAAACCCTAAACCCTAAACCCTAAACCCTAAGGCCTTCCGAAAGATGCGCCGCGCCAGCTTCTCGTTGCCCCGGAGGAGGTACGAGCGAATCACCTGCGACTACTGGGAGGTTCATGGTACTTAGGGGTTTAGGGTTTAGGGTTTAGGGTTTAGGGTTTAGGGGTACTTAGTAACCAATTATACTTATAA